TTTAACAGCCATATGATGGACAGCAGGAATTGAATATTTGAAAACCGCTTCTAGTATGTAATATAACAAAAAATATACCAATGCTTCATATCGATTGTCGCTTCAAGACCTATTATTTAAATGACTTTATAGTTTCTATTCACTCTTCACCATGGTACGCAGAAATGTCTAATTCAAAACACAAATGTAATATAATGCAATAACAAATACCTAAAACGTCTTATGCAAAAGATAAAATACAAGAAACCTCTGATAAAAATACTTTATACGTTAAATGCAAAAGACATTATACAAGAAACCTCTAATACAAAATACATATAACATCTAAAACGTGAAACATATACCATAAGCATTAGACGACATATTTCGTTTGCATTACCTACATTTCTTCCCTGTAATATCTTTATTTAGGTCAATGTCAAGGTCGAAGTATTTTTCAATCGATACAATAATTTCTCCCAAATTAAGGGGAATAACTCTAGTGTATTGTTGTACAACCGGAAGCGCGATTCCTTACGAATAAAATCTATTTTGCATTAAAGGTTTCTTGTATTTTATCTTTTGCATAAGACGTTTTAGGCATTTGTTATTGCATTATATCACATTTGTGTTTTGAATTAGACATTTCTGCATAGCATTGGGTTTTTGCCACTTCAATTTCAACCTAGAGGCGTATTTATGTTCACTTATACGCTGCTATGTAATTCATAAAACTTCTTCTTTCTTTCATCGGTCGATTTTGAAACTAAAGTGAACTGCTTTGGCCCCTTGTTTATCTTTGGCAAGCGAGCTCTTGATATTTTCAAACAACTGAGAACTTTGTATGTTCGTATTAAACAACTGAGAACTTTGTATGTTCGTATTAAACAACTGAGAACTTTGTATGTTCGTATTAAACAACTGAGAACTTTGTATGTTCGTATTAAACAACTGAGAACTTTGTATGTTCGTATTAAACAACTGAGAACTTTGTATGTTCGTATTAAACAACTGAGAACTTTGTATGTTCGTATTAAACAACTGAGAACTTTGTATGTTCGTATTAAACAACTGAGAACTTTGTATGTTCGTATTAAATAACTGGGAACTTTGTATGTTCGTATTAAATAACTGGGAACTTTGTATGTTCGTATTAAATAACTGGGAACTTGGTATGTTCGTATTAAATAACTGGGAACTTTGTATGTTCGTATTAAATAACTGGGAACTTGGTATGTTCGTATTAAATAACTGGGAACTTGGTATGTTCGTATTAAATAATGGGAACTTGGTATGTTCGTATTAAATAACTGGGAACTTGGTGTGTTCGTATTAAATAACTGGGAACTTGGTATGTTCGTATTAAATAACTGGG